GATCCCATTTACAATTGCACCCAAAACCATAAGATACCTAGGAATAAATTTAACCAAAGAGGCAAAGGATCTGTACTCAGAAACGTATAAAATACTCATGAAAGTAAGTGAAGAAGACACAAAGAAATGGAAAAACGTTCCATGCTCATGGGTTGGAAGAACAAACATTGTGAAGATGTCAATGCTACCTAGAGCAATCTACACATTCAGTGCAATCCCCATCAAAATACCATCCACTTTTTTCAAAGAAATGGAACAAATAATCCTAAAATTTGTATGGAACCAGAAGAGACCCCGAATAGCCAGAGGAATACTGAAAAAGAAAAGCAAAGCTGGCGGCATCACAATTCCGGACTTCCAGCTCTATTACAAAGCTGTCATCATCAAGACAGTTTGGTACTGGCACTAAAACAGACACATAGATCAATGGAACAGACTAGAGAGCCCAGAAATGGACCCTGAACTCTATGGTTAACTCATCTTTGACAAAGCAGGAAAGAATGTCCAATGGAGTAAAGACAGTCTCTTCAACAAATGGTGTTGGGAAAACTGGACAGCCACATGCAGAAGAAGGAAACTGGACCATTTCCTTATACCACACATAAAAATAGAATCCAAATCATTGAAAGACCTAAACGTGAGACAGGAGTCCATCAAAATTCTAAAGGAGAACACAGGCAGCAACCTCTTCGACCTCAGCCGCAGCAACTTCTTCCTAGAAACATCGCCAAAGGCAAGGGAAGCAAGGGCAAAAATGAACTATTGGGATTTCATCAAGATAAAAAGCTTTTGCACAGCAAAAGAAACAGTCCACAAAACCAAAAGACAACCGACAGAATGGGAGAAAATATTTGCAAATGACATATCAGATAAAGGGCTAGTATCCAAAATCTATAAAGAACTTATCAAACTCAACACCCTAAGAACAAATAATCCAATCAAGAAATGAGCAGAAGACATGAACAGACATTTTTCCAAAGAAGACATCCAAATGTCCAACAGACACATGAAAAAGTGCTCAACATCGCTCGGCATCAGGGAAATCCAAATCAAAACCTCAATGAGATACCAACTCACACCCGTCAGAATGGCTGGAATTAACAAGTCAGGAAACGAGACATGTTGGCGGGGATGTGGAGAAAGGGGAACCCTCCTACACTGTTGGTGGGAGTGCAAGCTGGTGCAACCACTCTGGAAAACAGTATGGAGGTTCCTCAAACAGTTGAAAATAGAGCTATCATACGATCCAGAAATTGCACTACTGCGTATTTACCCCAAAGATACAAATGTAGGGATCCGAAGGGGTAAGTGCACCCCAATGTTTATAGCAGCAATGTCCACAATAGCCACACTGTGGAAAGAGCCCAGATGTCCATCGACAGATGAATGGATAAAGAAGAGGTGGTATAGATATACAATGGAATATTATGCAGCCATCAAAAGGAATGAGGTCTTGCCATTTGCAATGACATGGATGGAACTGGAGGGTGTTATGCTGAGTGAAATAAGTCAATCAGAGAAAGACATGTATCATATGACCTCACTGATATGAGGAATTCTTAATCTCAGGAAACAAACTGAGGGTTGCTGGAGTGGTGGGGGGTGGGAGGGATGGGGTGGCTGGGTGACAGACATTGGGGAGGGTATGTGCTACGGTGAGCGCTGTGAATTTTGCAAGACTGTTGAATCACAGATCAGTAGTTCTGAAACAAATAATGCAAGATATGTTAAGAAAAAAAAAGAAGAAGATAGCAGCAGGGGAAGAATGAAGGGGAGTAAGTCGGAGGGGGAGATGAACCATGAAAGACGATGGTCTCTGAAAAACAAACTGAGGGTTCTAGAGGGGAGGGGGGTGGGGGATGGGTTAGCCTGGTGATGGGTATTAAAGAGGGCACGTTTTGCGTGGAGCACTGGGTGTTATGCACAAACAGTGAATCATGGAACACTACATCAAAAACTAATGATATATGGTGATTAACATAAGAATAAAAAAATAAAAAAAGAACAGAGATTTCCTTAAATGCCTAAGACCAAATAATTACTCAGTCTTTCAACAGGACGTGTGTGTGTGTGTGTGTGTGTGTGTGTGTGTGTGTGTGTGTTTGGGCACAACTTCACACTCAGCCAAGCAATATACAACTCTTTCTTATTCTTTACATTTTCATAGAGCTTCAAGGTCAGTGAGAGGTGAGTATGTAGGGCCTTCTCAGGTCTTTCCTGAGCATATGCACAGCCCTAGGCATGCATGTGGGCTTCTAGATTCCCAGGAGTATGGCAGGGCTTTTTGAGCTCATATGGACACTTCATTCTGAAGCCTTCCCTTCCAAGGTTTCTGGTTTGTCTGTTGTTTCCCCAAATGTTATCTATCACCCAGCCAGCAGCAACTACAGCATTACCCTTTGACTGTTGTAGACAAATGCTTTAGCCCTGCTGGTTCTGAGTTGCATACAACAGGACAGGCCTTTTGGGAGGCATATCAGATAGGTCAAAGGACATGACTAAAGTCCCTGTGCACGAGACCCGCTCTGCTCCATCTGGTGTAGGCAGTACAGGTGTTTGTCTCATAGTCACTGCTGAACCAGGGGGCTGGCTACAGACAGGGGTGTGCCAGCACCTGGAGCCTTGGGATTCCTGCTGGGAAGGGATGAGAGCGACCCAGTGCCTGGAGCTCAGTTGCTGAGTGAATGCTCTAACAGTTGCTGTGACCCTTTGACTGATTTTCAGATTTGTGAAGAAAAGCTAATTCTGACACTTACGCAGTTTTTTATTGCTTTTATTGAGGGACATAAGTTGGAGTTTCTTATTTTTCTGCTATTTTCCTCTTAGCTATTGTTATAATTTACTTCTCCAGCTGAATATTAGAGTTATTTATTCACTCTGAGGCTTTGATTAGGATTATATTCAATTTTGGATCAATTTTCAGTGAACTGAGGTATTTATAATTTGGATGTTTCATCCAGGAACATGATATACTTTCCTGCTTGTTGGTGTTACCTCATGTGTGTCTTTATAAGTTACTTTAAAAATATGTAGTTCCTTCACTGTTTTAAGTTTATCCCTCCTTATTTTACTTTATTTTTCTAAAAAAATTTATAATAGATAAGTATATAATAAATATATCTACTTATTTGTACTTTTTAACAAATTTAATTTAAATTCACTTAGCCAACATATAGAACATCATTAGTTTCAGATGTAGTGTTCAGTGATTCATCAGGCATGTGATGTGATGAGCACTGAGTGTTCTACTTATTTGTACTTATAATACTAAATCTTTTTTTCCCAAGAATATATTGTTGGCATGAAAACAAGTTGTTCATTTGCAAATAATTCTTTCCTTGAATACTTTTATTCCCATAACATCCTTAATTTTTTAAGTAAACAGTCATATAAATAGTCATAATCTTGACACCTAATTTCCAAATTTATGCTCATTATTTTCTTTCACTCCAAAATTTATTAGATAGCATTTTCAAATATTGCTATATCAGTGTAGCTGTGGCAAGCATCCTTGCTTAATTCTGATCTGTTTTTGGTGTAGTTTTTTAAAGTATGAAACAATAAAATTTCTTCTCTCTTTTTTTTTTAAAGATTTTATTTATTTATTTGACAAAGAGAGACACAGAGAGAGAGGGCACACAAGCAGGGAGTGGGAGAGGGAGAAGCAGGCTTCCCATTGAGCAGGGAGCCCGATGCGGGGCTCGATCCCAGGACCCCGGGACCATGACCTGAGCCGAAGGCAGACTCTTAATGACTGAACCACCCAGGTGCCCCAACAATAAAATTTTTAACAATGGAAAAGTTTCAGTAACAGTAGAATGGTATATAGGAGTTTACTAGAAATGACTACAGAATGTAAAAATTGAGCATGCTTCTTGTTGTTGGCTTGAATTTTTCTTTTTTCTTTCTTTTTTTTTTTATTATGTTATGTTAGTCACCACACATTACATCATTAGTTTTTGATGTACTGATCCACGATCCATTGTTTGCGTGTAACACGCAGTGCTCTGTGCAGAACGTGCTGTCCTTGATCCTCATCACCAGGCTGACCCATCCCCCACCCCCTCCCTGAAACCTTCAGTTTCCAAGACTCATGTATCCTTATGATTGTCCTTTCTCCATTTTCTTTTTTATTGTGAAATAAAACTCAGGAAGGACATGTATATAAAGCAAGTGCTTACAACTCAGTGACGCACTGAGCGCTGTACTAGTATGTTTCACATCCATTTCCCCAAAAGCTACTCAGTATTCTAGCTTTTATGATCATCATCATCTTCTTGGTTTTATTTATTTTATTTTTTTTAAATTAACTTCTTTTTTATTTTTTTAAAGATTTTTTTATTTATTCATTTGACAGAGAGACACAGCAAGAGAAGGAACACAAGCAGGGGGAGGGGGAGAGGGAGAAGCAGGCTTCCCATTGGTTTTATTTTTAATTTTGAAAACATACATCTCCCAAACATCTTCATCACTGAACTTTTTATACGTGGCACACAGTGTGTTTCCTCCTGTTTTGATCATTATGACGAACACTGCCTGGCACTTTCTCGTGCATGTCCCTTGGTGAACATCTCAGCACATTTGTGTTGTCTGTATGGCTACAGCAGGGTTGAGGGGTCATAAAGTATGGGTGTTGCCAACTGTCACAACTGAAGCCAGGATTCGAAACAGCTTGTACCAATTTAAAGACCCATTATCTATGATTGAGAGTTTCAGTAGCTCCATATACTCACCAGTACTTGGTGTTTTAATATTAGTTTTTCTGATGTGCATGCAGTGGGATTGCATTATGGTTTAAATGAACATTTTCATGGTTACTAACATGGTTGAATGCTTTTGAATATGTGTATTTTTTATTAGGGTATGATTTTTTTTTTTTTTAAGAGTTCAGCTTTTTATTGAGCAGGTTACAGAAGAGGCTTAGTCAAAAAGAGCAAAGCCCATGTCATCATCAGACTTGTCTGATTCTGCTCTCTTTGCTTCCACCTCCTTCTCCTTAGCAGGGGCAGCCATGGTGGCAGGGCCAGGATCAGCTGTTGGACCAGCCGCAGCAGCCCCTACACTGTGGGAGAGGCTCCCCATGTCTATGGTGGCTGGGACGTCTGCAGACAAGCACGGACAGAAAGGTTCCACATTTACACCCTTATCCTTGCACAGGGTGAGGGCCCAGTAGGTGTGGGCGAGCCCCGAGATGGACACTGCGGGCGAGGGCTGAACGGTGCCACCAGGTGAAGGGGGGCCTGCCCCGCACAGCCTTGGCATCCTCGGAAGGACTGAGCACCTTAGCAGCAGCTGAGAAAAAGTAGGGTGTGATCTTGTATGAAGTGTCTATTCTGGGTCATCCGGTTTATTTGGTCTGTTTATCTGTATGTTGTTGTTGATTTGTAAGAATGATTTACAAATTTTGTTAGTTGTATGTGTTAATAGTATCTTCCCCAAACTGATGACTTGTCTTATTGCTCTAGTTTTGTTGTGTATGCACATATGGATGGATGAACACAGTCCAGTTTATTAATCCACTGTATGCCTGTGTCGTTGGGTCCCATTTAAAAAGTCGTCTGCTCTGGCGGAGCGTGAAGACTGTCCCCTTGATTATCTGCAGAACCCTTATTGTTTGCCTTTCACATGAGGACTGTCAGTTCACCCTCCTTCCCTCTGGTGACCACCAGTTTGTTCTCCGTATTTGAAAGTCTGCTTTTTTGTCTCTTTTCTTTGTTTTTTCACTGGTTTTGTTTCTTAAATTCCACACATGAGTGGGATCATATGGTATTTGCCTTTCTCTGACTGACTTATTTCACTTAGTATTACACATTTTAGGTCCATCCATGTTGTTGCAAATGGCAGTATTTCATTTTTTTAAATGGGTGAGTAATGTTCCATTGTGTATACTCCACATCTTTATCTACTCATCTATTGATGGACACTTCGGCTGCTTCTTTATCATGGCTATTGTAAATAATGCTGTAACAAACAAAAAGGTGCATGTATCTTTTTGAATTAGTGTTTTCATTTTCTGTGGTTAAATACTCAGTTGTGAAACTACTGGACCATAGGGTAATTATATTTTTAATTTTTTGAAGAATCTCCATACTGTTTTCCACAGTGGCTGTGCCAATTTATGTTCCCAACAACATTGTATGAGGGTTGCTTTTTTCCCACATTCTTTAAACATTGTTTCTTATGTTTTTCATTTTAGCCATTCTATTAGGTGTAAAGGGGTATCTCATTTTGGTTTTGATTTGCCCTTTCCCTGATGATTAGCTTTTTTTTAATTTTAAAAAAATTTTATTTATTTATTTGTCAGAGAGAGAGCACAACCAGGGGGAGGGGCGGAGGGAGAAGCAAGCTCCCCACTGAGCAAGGAGTCCAATGCAGGACTCGATCCCAGGACCCTGGGTCATGACCTGAGCCAAAGGCAGACGCTTAACCAACTCAGCCACCCAGGCATCCCTTCCCTGATGATTAGTGATGTTGAGCATCTTTTCATGTGTCTCTTGGCCATCTGGATGTCTTCTTTGCAAAAATGTCTTTTCAGGTCCTTTGCCCATTTTTAAATTGGATTATTTGTTTTTTGGTGTTGAGTTATATAAGTTTTTATATATTTTTGATATTAACCCTTTATCAGATATATCATTTGCAAGTGTCTTCTCCCATTCAATGCATTGTCTTTTTGTTTTGTTGATGGTTTTCTCCACTGTGCAAAAGCTTTTTGTTTTGGTGTAGTCTCAATAGTTTATTTTTGCTTTTGTTTCCCTTGCCTCAGGAGACACATCTAGAAAAATGTTGCTACTGCCAATGTCAAATAAATTACTGCCTATGTTTTCTTCTAGGAGTTTTATGGTTTCCTGTCTCACATTTTTTTTTTTAATTTTATTATGTTATGTTAGTCACCATACAATACATCATTAGTTTTTGATGTGGTGATCCACGATCCATTGTTTTCATATAACACCCAGTGCTCCATGTAGTACGTGCCCTCCTTAATACCCATCACCAGGCTCCTGTCTCACATTTAGATCTTTCATCCATTTTGAGTTTATTTTTGTGTATGGTGTAAAAAAAGTGGTCCAGTTTCATTCTTCTGCATGTGGCTGTCCAGTTTCCCCAACATCATTTGTGGAAGAGACTGTCTTTCCCACTGCATATTCTTTACCCCTTTGTGGAAGATTAATTGACCATAGAATTGTGGGTTTATTTTTGGGTTTTCTGTTCTGTTCCATTGATCTGTGTGTCTGTTTTTGTGACAGTACCATACTGTTTTGATTACTCCAGCCTTGTAATATATCTTGAAACCTGGGACCGTGATGCCTCCAGCTTTGTCCTTTTGTGAGATTGCTTTGGCTATTCAAGGTCTTTTGTGATTCCATACAAATTTGATACTATTTGTTCAGTTCTGTGAAAAATGCTATTAGTATTTTGATAGTGATTGCATTGAATCTAGAGATTGCTTTGCATAGTATGGACATTTTAACAATATTAATTCTTCCAATTCATGAGCATGAAGTATCTTTTCCTTTGTATCTTCTTCAATTTCTTTCATCAGTGTTTTATAGTTTTTGGAGTACAAGTCTTTTTACCTCCTTGGTTAAGTTTATTTCTAGGTATTTGATTATTTTTTTAAAGATTTTATTATTTATTTGAGAGAGAGAGAGAGACAGAGATAGTGAGAGAGAACACAAGCAGGTGAAGTGGAGAGGGAGAAGCAGGCTTCCTGCTGAGCAGGGAGCCTGATGTGGGACTCGATCCCAGGACCCTGGGACCATGACCTGAGCTGAAGGCAGATGCTTAACAACTGAGCCACCCATGCGCCCCTATTTGATTATTTTTTAGAAATTTTTCATTTAAATTCAATTTAGTCAGCATATACTGTATTATTAGTTTCAGTGGTAGAATTTAGTGGTTCATCAGTTGCATATAAGACCCAGTGCTCATTACATCAAGTGCCCCCCTTAATGCCCATCACCCAATTACCCCACCCCCCCACCTACCTCCCCTCTAGAAACCCTAAGTTTATTTTCTATAGTTAAGAGTCTCTTACAGTTTGCCTCCCTCTCTGTTGTCATCTTATTTTTTAAAATTTAAACTTACTTTATTTCTGCTTTACTGAGGTATAATTGACATATAAAATTGTAAAATATTTAAAATATACATCATGGTCATTTGATATATGTATTCCTTGTGAAAGTATTCTCCCCATTGAGTTAATTAATACATCCATCACCTCACATATTTATCTTTGGGGGTGAGAACATTTAAGTTCAACTGTCTTACCAAATTTCAGTAATACACTACATTGTTATCAACTACAGTCATCATGTTTTACATTAGATCCTCAACCTTATTTATCTTCTAGCTGTTGTCATCTTATTTGATTTTTCCTTCCATTACCCCGTGTTCATCTGTTTTGTTTCTTAAATTCCACATATGAGTGAAATCATATGGTATTTGTCTTTCTTCGACTATTTCGCTTAGCGTAATGCCCTCTAGATCCATCCCTGTCATTACAAATGACAATATTTCATTCCTTTGGATTGCTGATTAATATTCCATTGTATACATATACACATCTTCTTTATCCATTCATCTGTTGATAGGTTATTTTTTATGCAGTTGTCAATGAGATCATTTTCTCAATTTCTCTTTTTGCTATTTCATTATTAGTGTATACAAATGCAACAGATTTCTGATATTAATTTTGTATCCTGTGACTTTCCTGAATTCATTTATCAGTTCTAGTAGTTTTCTGGTAGAATCTTTATGGTTTTCTATATATAATATCACGTCATTTGCAAATAGAGTTTTACTTCTTCCTTATCAATTTGGATGTCTTTTATTTCTTTTTCTTATCTGATTGCTGTGGCTAGAACTTCCAGTACTATGTTGGATAAAAGTGATGAGAATGGACATCTTTGTCTTATTCCTGACCTTAGAGGAAAAGCTCTCAGTTTTTCACCCTTGAGTATGATGTTAGTGGTAGGTTTTTCATATATGACTTTTATTATGTTGAGGTATGTTCTCTCAAACCTTTGTTGAGGGTTTTCATCATGAATGGATGTAGTACCTTGTCAAATGCTTTTTCTGCATCTCTTGAGAGGATCATTTGGTTTTATACTTCTTTTTTCTTACAAAAGTCTACTTAGGTTTCTATACTCAAGGTGTTGATTTTATTGTTTTCTCTCTTTATTCATCCTGAAATGAATTGAGTCTAGACCTTGAATTTTTCAACAAAGTATGTAGATTGTCAACTGACCTTCACTTTTTCATTTACTATATGTCAGGGAGCTCTGGGATAACAGCTAGGAGCCACTGTGAAATGCAGTGTCTGATGGAGGCTTTACTATGAAAGTGTTATTTTTTCCTACCTGCGTTCCCTGCCATTTTAATTCTGAGAGGTGGGAACAAAGATAATGTGTAACTTCTTTGTTGCTGTGTCTATATCTACTAGTACAGGACTTGGCAAATAGTAGGCATCTGATATATAGTAAGTCATTCCACAAATGAATGACTGATGATGATATCTAGCATATTTGCCATTAGAGATACTTCTTCAGAACCTTGTTTATACTGTTTATATACTGCTCAAAATATTCTATTCCTAAATTCTCCTACTTAGGCCTGGTTGTGTTTGGAAGTTGTTGTCTCTGAATATATGCAAATATATCAAAATGGATAAGTTCTGAATCAGGGGACAAACATTGGGTTCTGAATCTAAAATCTTAAAATATGGCTATATTTTCTTTGATGCTTCTTTTATCAAGAGGCTGTGTCTGTGTCCTCTCTTCTTGAATCTGGGTGTTCTTATGACTGTTTTGACCAATTAAGAGTGACAGGAAGAACACCATATGATTTCCAAAGACAAGCCATAGAAGCCCATGCAGCTTCTACTTTGTTTGCTAGTTTGCTCACTCTTGGACCCTGAGCCATACCATAAGAAGCCCTACTATGTTGAGGCCACCATGCTGGAGAGGCCATGCAGGGGCCATTGAGCAGTCCCAGCTGAGCCCAGTAGGTGACCAGTGCAACATAGAGCAGAAGAGTTACCCAATTGGACCTGCCCACAACTGACCCACAAAATCATGAAATATAAGAAAACAGTTTTCATTTTAAACCATTAAATTTTGGGATAGCTTGTAAGCAACAATAAATAATTGGAACATCTTTTTGTAACCTTTCACATACTTTTTATTTTATGAAAGTATATTTTCTTAATCTACTTCCATTTCCTTTAGAGTCAGTAGTGATTTCATTCATATTTTGGCATCATTGTTTCTTGTTTTTTACATTGTCTCTCTATAGATTTTGTTTTAAGATGAATAAACAACATCAGGCCTATTAGACAGGCACTATTTTTTCACATTCTTTCTTGAAACATTTAACATGACCTTCTGTTAATATAAAATCAAAGATTATTGAAGCCATTATCTCAGATATCTAAAGAAGCAAAATTAGACAAGTGGTTTTATTGTATCCCAATGTTGAAATGCTCATGTTTGCAGCCTTTGAAGACGTTTCACCGAATAATATAATTAAAATCTGACTTGTGTATAATCTAAAAAGCCGGTGTGATTGAATGATGGTCTCTTACTAGCTGTTATTAAACATTTCCTTGCTTTACTAATTTTAGTTTCCTCCAGAATAAAGTAGCTAAATGGAGTAACATAATTTGAAGTTACTTTTCATCTCTATGAT